GAGCCTTGTTAGGATCTTCTGCTATGTCTTTTCTTAGGGTTTCATATTTTCCTTTATAGGGGTCCTTCACCTCTTTTGTTAGGTATATTCCTAGGTATTTCATCTTCTTTGAAGCTATTGTGAAGGGAATTATGTCCATGATTAACTTCTCATGTTGGCTGTTACTGGAATATACAAAGGCTACTGATTTGTGAACATTGATTTTATATCCTGAGACATTGCTGTATTTTTTTTATCACTTCCAGGAGTCTTGTGGCTGAGTCTTTGGGGTTCTCTCCGTATAATATCATATTGTTGGCAAAGAGAGTCTGGCCTCCCTTGCACCCATTTGGATGTCCTTCTTTTGCGTGATTGTATTGACTGGAACTTCTAGCACTATGTTGAATAGTAGTGGTGATAGAGGATAACCTTCTCTGGTTCCAGTTCTAAGTGGAAAAGCTTTCTAGTTTTACTACATTCAGTATGATATTAACTGATTTGTTGTAGATGGCTTAAGTTTAAAAAATGTACCATCTATACCTGTATTCTTTAGTGTTCTAATTAGAAAAGGATGCTGAATTTTATCGAATGCTTTTTCTGCATCTGTTGAGAGGATCATATGGGCTTTGGGTTTGCTTCTGTTGATGTGATGAATTATGTTTATGGACTTGCATATGCTAAACCAGCCTTGCCTCCCTGATATGAAACCTACTTGATCATAATGAATCATTCTTTTTTAATGTGTAGCTGTAATCTATTGGCTAGAATTTTGAGAATTTTTTTATCTATATTGATTAGTGAAATTGATCTGAAATTCTCTTTTTTTTTAGTTGGGTCTTTTCCTGGTTTTGTTATCAGGGTGATGTTTGCTCCATAGAATGTGTTGGGGAAGATTTCTTCCTTCTTGATTTTTTGAAATAATTTCTGCACTATGGGAATAAGCTCTTCTTTGAAGATTTGATAGAATTCTGGTCTGAAGCCATCTGGACCAAGGCTTTTTTTGGTTAGGAGATTTTTATTGTTTTTTCGATCTCAGTTCTTGAAATTGGTCTGTTCAAGAGATCTGATTCTTCTTGATTAAGTTTAGGGAGATGGTGCATTTCCAGGTATTGATCCATTTCTTCCACATTGTCAAATTTCTGGTCACAAAGTTTTTTGTAGTACTCAGAGATGATCTCCTATATCTCTGTGGTATCTGTTGTTATTTCCTCTTTATTATTTCTGATTGAGGATATTAGAGATTTTACTTTTCTAATTAATCTGGCCACAGGTTTATCTGTTTTATCTATTCTTTCTGCAAAACCAACTTTTTGTTTCATTAGTTTCTGAATTTTTTTTTGTTTTCAATTTCATTCATCTCTGATTTAATTTTGGTTATTTCTTCTTTTCTGCTGGGTTGGGATTAGATTTTTCTATTTCCAGTTACATAAGATAGTTCATGAGTTTGTTGATGTGCTCCCTTTCTGTTTTTCGAATGTAGACATCTAATGCAGTAAATTTCCCTTTTAAGACTACTTTTGCCGTATCCCATGGATTTTGGTGACTTGTGCCTTCATTGTTCTTATGTTTTAGGAATTTAATGATTTCCTCTTCTATCTCTTCCTGAACCCAACTATCATTCAGCATAAAGATGTTTAATTTTCAAGTCTTTGTGTGGGGATGAATGTTTTTGTTGGGGTTGAGTTCTGTCTTGTGGTCTGAGAAAGTACAGGGTATAGTTTCTCTTCTTCTAATTTTGCTGAGCTTTGATTTGTGTCCTAGCATGTACCATGGAGTAATGAGAAAAATGTATAATCCTTAGCTTTGGGATGGTGGGCTCTCTGTATGTCTATTAATCCCATTTGTTCTAGAGTCACATTTAAGTCCTTTGTTTAGTTTCTGTTCAGAGAATCTGTCTAGTTCTGTCAGAGGAGTGTTAAAGTCCCCTACTATTATGGTGTTATGGGATATGATAGTGCTCAGATCCATCAAGGTCTGTTTGATAAATCAGGGAGCATTTAAGTTGGGTGCATAAATATTTAAAATTGAAATGTGTTCTTGTTGTATTGTCTTTTGGACTACTATAAAGTGTCCATCTTTGTCTTTCTTAACTTTAGTTGCTTTAAATCCATTTGTATCTGAAAATAAAATTGCAACTGCCATTTCTTCTGATTTCCATTTGCTTGAGATACTATTTTCTATCTCTTAACCCTGAGTCTTAATTTGTGTTTCTAGGCTGGTTGTGTCTCCTGGAGACAGCCTATGGGTGACTTGTGCTTTTTTATACAATCAGCCAACCTATGCCTCTTCAATGGTAAATTCAGTCCATTGAATTTAAATTGATAAGTGTGGTGGAGTTCTAGTCATCTTATTTTTTAAAAGTCCATCTGGGCTCGGCACCTGTGGCTCAAGTGGCTAAGGCGCCAGCCACATATACCTAAGGTAGTGGGTTCAAATCCAGCTTGGGCCCACCAAACAACAATGATGGCTGCAAGCAAAAAATAGCCAAGTGTTGTGGTGGGCACCTGTGGTCCCAGCTACTTGGGAGGCAGAGGCAGGAGACTCGCTTCAGCTCAGGAGTTGGAAGTTGCTGTGAGCTGTGATGTCACGGCACTCTACCCAGGGGAATAGCTTGAGGCTCTGTCTCAAACAAAAAAAAAAAGTCCATTTGTAGTTTTATCTTTTGCGCCAGTGTGGAAGCTAAGTTTTGACCTTTGGCTTCTGGGTATTTACTTTTCTGGTGGTCCATTGTGATGGTCAGTGATGAGAATAGGTCTAAGTATTTCCTGTAGAGCTGGTCTTGTTGTGGGGAATTTCCTCAGTGCATGTATATCCGCAAATATTTGATTTCTCCATCAGTTTTGAAGTAGCTTAGTTTAGCAAGATATAGAATTCTGGGCTGAAAGTTGTTTTGTTTAAGAATGTTGAAGGTGAATGACCATGCTCTTCTGGCTTAGAAGGTTTCATTTGGAAAGTCTGCTGTCATCCTAATGTTTCGGCCTCTGTAGGTTATTTGGTGCTTATTCCTGGCTGCATGCAGAATTCTTTATTTCATCTTGATTTTGGACATGTTCATTACAATGTGTCTTGGAGAGGCTCTATTTGAGTTGAGATGACCCAGGATTTGATACCCATCTAAAAGGAGTGTGTCAAGGTCTTTAGTAAAATTTGAAAAGTTTTCATTTATGATAGTCTCCAGTAGAGTTTCCATTCCTTTGGGACAATCTTCTTCCCCTTCAGGAATCCCTATTTGTATGTTTGAATGCTTCATGGAATTTCATAGTTCTCTAAGCACCTATTCTGCTTTCTCGCTCTGCTTTTCTGCCTCTTTAACTTGAAAACTTTTATCCTCATGGTCTAACCTGTTTTGATACTTTCTACTGCATGTTTACAATTCCCTGATCGTCTCTTCACTTCCTTAAGCTCTGCCACATCCTTTCTGTATTCTATATATCTCTCATCTGACTTTTCGGTCTTTCCATTTCCTTCCTTTCCTTTTTCCTTCCCTCCCCTCCCCTCCCTTCCCCTCCCCTCCCCTCTCCTCTCCTTTCCTTTCCCCTCTCCTTTCCTCCCCTTTCCTTTCCTTTCCCCTTTCCTTTCCTTTCCTTTCCCCTTTCCCCTTTTCCTTCCTTGTTGCCCTGGGTAGAGTGCCGTAGTCACAGCTCACCACAACCTCACCCCACAAACTCTTGGGCTTAAGTGATTCCTTTGCCTCAGCCTCCTAAGTAGAACCTGCCACCCTCCGTGTATGTGGCTGGTGCCATAACCACTGTGCTACAGGTGCCGAGCCTGTCTTTCCATTTTCTTGTCCATTCCTTTTGTTGTCTTTATCACCTATGTTTTAAATTCCCTTTCTGTCAAGTCCATTAATTCTTTATAGGTGGCAGTAGCTGCCTCATGGTCCCTTGGAGGAGTTCCTCTGTTTTGGTTTTTCATGTTGCCTAAATTTTTCAGTTGGTGCCTCCCCATGTGTTCTTTTTTCTCATTCACCTCCTTGTTCTCATTGCCTCCTTTGTTTCAAACAGAAGTCCTTGCTCCTGATGACAGTGTGTTGCAATATGTCACCAGGATACCAGGTAGCTCTGTGGTTTTTTTAAGGAGACAGAACAGCCAGCAACTCTTATGGTCCTTATTCTAAGCTTAGTTGCCTCTGGTGATTGTTTGATTGTTTCCTCAGCATTCAGACCTTGCCGATTCTAATGTTCACAAGAATCTTTCAGGGGCAGGTCTCACAGTGCCCCTTGACTCCAGTTTCCATGGGGTACAGGAGTCCCTCAGCCTGTCCGGAGAGTGAAGTTCTGATCCTGGCAGGCAGAATTAAGATGGCCACGCTTTAGGCCCCTGCTAAGACCTTCTCCCAACCTTCCCATAATGGCAGCCCCCTGGTAACAGAGACCTTCTCAGTATGGCTGCCTTGCTAGCCACCAAACCTATGGCAAATCCACTCCAACCGGCTTTCAAATCTGGTTGCTGTATACTGTTTGAGTTTGCCCACTCTTCCAAGCTGTCCACTCAGTGTACAGCTTCCCTCAACAACTAAAAACTCCAGAAAGGCTTCCTCCCGTCCTAGGCCTCTGTGGTGGGCCAGCCAAGCTGGTCACAGTCGCTTGCCTAATTCATCAGGTTTCCACTACTCTGGATCATACACTGTATCCAGGTTACCACCTCCTTGCTGTGTTCCCTGAGCTATGACTCTGTGTAAGGTCCCCCCTCATAGAATTCTTTAATATGTGTTGAAATAATTTTGTGTCTTAAAGCAGTTTTTATAGTCATATTATAGTTCTGAATTCCTCAGTCTTTTAACTTTGTATGTGTATGTTTTTAGAGTAGGAATGAAGGGAATAAAGTGATTTCCTTCTGGATATATTGTTCCCTAGAGATTTGGGTTCTCCAGAGTTTTCCTCTTTTACATTTTGCTGTAAATGGAGGGTACAAATTAAATATGTCACTTTTATAGCATTTTAAAAATAAATACTCCAATGTTAGGTTTACCCAAAATGTTTTGACCATGTCTTCTCTATTTCTCTTTTTTAAAATTTCAGGCTCTGCTGGTTCTTCATCAGTTAGATAGCATTGATTTGTGGAATCCTGATGCACCTGTAGAAACATTTTGGGAGATTAGGTATGTGTACTTTTATCTTTTAATTCAATTTTTAAATTTTATTTTGTATTTTTTCTTTAAATATTAACTGTAGAGTACTTATATTAGCTCATTGTAAAACTTATATTTATGGAAATTTTACAATTTTATATTTATTTTACTTGAAGTTATTAGACTATTTCTTATTTTAACTATAAGAATAGTGTCACAGCAATTTAGAAAATAAATTTTTTAAAATAGTGCTACATTTTGTCATGTAACCCTAAGTACTGTCATTTGGTGTATTATCTTCTGTTTCAGATTTCTGTGTAGGTAAAACTGTTTTTAATAAATTTTCATAGTTATAAACCTAGAGTGATAAAAATTATCACAATTTTTTCTCAGCTTTTTAAACCAGTCTTTTGTAAGTTTTCCATTAATACAAGAGCTTTTAATGAATGAATGAATAATGGGCATCTGCTTAGAAGGCAAAAATACATATGGAATTTTCTAGTCTATTTCCTAGATTATATAAATTATAATCTTTTAGTAGCACCACATTGAGGAAAATACAGATGTATAAACCTCAAGCTTACCATTATCTTATAGAATTGGGTTTGCTGACTCACTTGGCAGCTAAGTTAAATCTTAGAGCAGTGCTCTCTAATAGTAATATAATATGATCTACATATGTAACTTTAAGTTTTTTTTTTTTTTTTTGAGATAGAGGCTTACTATGTCTATGTCTCTCTCACTAGAGTACGGTGGCATCATAGCAACCTCAAACTCTTGGGCTTAAGCGATTCTCTTGCCTCAGCCTCCCAAATAGCTGGAACTACAGGCGCCTGCCATAATGCCTGGCTATTTCTTTTGTTGTTGTTGTTGTTGCTGTTGTCATTGTTGTTTTAGCTGGCCTGGGCTGGGTTTGAACCCACCAGCCTTGGTGTATGTGGCCAGCACCCTAACCACTGAGATACGGGTGCTACCCTGTAGCTTTAAATTTTGTAATTAAGACATTACAAAGCAAAAAGAAATAGGTAAAATTAATTTTAATAATGTATTTTATTTACCTTGTATGTAGGCATATGTGTTATAATTTCAGTACATAATTAACATAAACATTATTGATGAGATATTTTTATTTGTTTTTTAATTAAGTCTTCAAAATTTGGTATGTGTTTTATACTTATATCTCAGTTTGGACAAGCCATATTAAAGTGCTCAGTAGCTACATGTTGAGCAGCGCAGCACTAGAGTAAGGATTAGGAAACTTGTTCTCTTAAAGGGCCAGATAGTATTTTAGGCTTTGTAGGTCATACAGTTTCTGTCACAACTATTCAGTTCTACCTTTGGAGTGTGAAATCAGCCATAGACAATATGTGAATGAATGGATGTGATGGTTCCACTAAAATGTTATTTATAATAGTAAATGGTAGACTGGATTTGGACTGTGGGTGGTTGTTTTCAGACCCCATGCTCAGAGCACTGGGTTTATATATAGTCTCTGCTGTGTACATGGTTTACCATTTCTTTCTGTGTCTTCTGCAAGGATGGGATCTATAGGATGAAACATTGAGAGTTTGATTAAACACCAGAGGCTTTTAAGTATCTGTTTTTTGAATATAATCTGTAGACTTACTCCATTTGATTATGATGCTGTTGACATTTTGGTAACTGTTAAATTCTACATGGGCAATTAAGGTTCTCTAAACTTAGATCCATTATGAGATGATGCTTTTCTTATGTACTGATTATATCTGTATTAGATTATGTATTGATGATGCTGGTAACAGTGAACTTTATGTTACTGCAGCTCACAAATGCTTTTTTACATCTGCAAGAAATTAACTAGCCATCAAATGCTTAGTAGCACAGAAATTCTCAAATGGTTGCGAGAAATTTTGATCTGCAGAAATAAATTTCTTCTTAAAAATAAGGTAAGTAAAACAGCATCTTTAAAGATGGAAGAATATTTTAAATGATAATGAGGAACAATTAAGGTTTATTAAATTAAGTCCTACTTCAACTCCTCCCTCCTGTAAGTTTTCTCAGAGAAACATACATGTGCAAGGGACAGTGGCAAAATCAACATTTTAAAAATTATTCTGAGGCTTTGTCCTTAAAGCCACAATATTGATGAATTACAGGTATATTAGGCAGGTCTCTGTAAGGCAAGCCTGGGAAGAGTGAGGGCTACTAAAACCACAGTAGGTTGAGGAGCATATTTTCTCTTTACTCTGAAGTTCATGTATAAGACTTGGATCTCATGATAGGCTAGCCCAGAGAATATTATCTATTAATAAGTTTAAAGGAACAGATTGAAAGTCTTCAATCTAGGTTTATTTATATTCCTCCCATAAAAATTTTATCTCTTAAAAATCTTAAAAATATCAGAGATGAAATTTTTTGACCTTGAACTACTGAAATATGGTGAGATTGCATGGGATAGAGAAGTATCTTTTAATGTGTAGTTTCTGTAATCAGTTTAAGAATTCTTACATTGCACAGTTTTAAGAATGCTGATTTAGTTAGTTTTTATCTAGTTCTAGAATCCATAGCTGCTAGAAATATCAAATATATAAAACACATATGCTTTTCATTGCCATGTAGCTTGTTAAATTGTCTGTTTAAAAATGGACTAATGGTGAGGTGGGTTTATTCACGTCTGGCTTATCTTAATGTGCTAATTTAGTGGAATTTGGCGTTATTCCACAGATAGAGAAAGAGATTAGACATCAGAGTTTCATGCCCTTTTCTATGGTATCATCTCCTGAGTACAAATAGTGTCGACCCAGTAATAAAGCTATAGTGCTCTGATCTTCAAAGTGTCTCTTGTGACGTATTTGGTGTATATACCAGTGTTAGTGACTGGTTCAGAAGAATTTAGTCTCAAAAGAGTCAAGTTCTAAATATCCTGACATGACACAGGATAAAATATTATGGGGGGGAAATCTTTATTATTGAGATTGCATTATAGAGGAGTTTCAAAGACATTGAGCAAACATTATTCATTCTACTGACTGTTCCTCAAAGTGGGACATAGGGCTTAAGAGTAGAGGATTTCCAAGTTTCTTTCTTTCTTTTTTTTTTTTTTTTTGGAGACAGAGCCTTAAGCTTTCCCCCTGGGTAGAGTGCTGTGGCATCACAGCTCACAGCAACCTCCAACTCCTGGGCTCAAGCGAGTCTCCTGCCTCCACCTCCCAAGTAGCTGGGACCACAGGCACCCACCACAACGCCTGGCTATTTTTTTTGGTTGCAGCCGTCATAGTTGTTTGGCGGGCCTGGGCTGGATTCGAACCTGCCACCTTAGGTGTATGTGGCTGGCGCCCTAGCCACTTAAGCCACAGGCGCTGAGCCGATTTCCAAGTTTCAAATGGGAAGACAATTCAGTTTATCCTCTTGGTTGTCAGTACTCTGGTAGAACTTATTTATTTCTTTTTTTCTAGCAGGCAGATAGAAGTTCCTGTCACTTTCTCTTCCCTTATGGAGTAGGATGTGATGTTCCTTCAAGTGGAAATACCAGTCAACTGTCCATGGATCATGAAGAGTTATTACGTCCTGGAGCTTCTCTCCGGAAGGGAAAAGGAAACTCCTCCATGGTAAGAAGCTGCTTTTGTAATTTTCCTGTATCATCAGCTGTGATGTATTTTTTTTTTTTCTGAATGAACTTTGGTAAATTTCAACCACATGATACAGTGAAATAGTTAAAAACTGCTTAGATTCTAGTTCTGTTGCTGCTGTTGGTGACATTACCCAAGATCTTAACATCCCTGTGCCTAAGTGTCTGAACTTTAAAATAGGCATGATAATAATTCTTGCCTCAGAGTAATTGTGAGGATTAAATGAGATAATGTTATAACTAGCACTTGACTCTTAAAGCTATAATTGATAACTAATTATTATAAATATCCATCCATAAGAAAGATCATTCATACCTAAGGAATTTAGAAGTTATATCAGCTAACAAAGTACAGATTTACTATGATAAAAATAAAGTATTTTGCTTGATGTTATAGATAAGCATTTCTGTGATTGTGTTTGTGTATATAATTCTTTTAAATATAAATTATAGCACATGTGAAAACAACAAATCATTACTGAAGCAAGTGTTTACCAGATCAAAACTTTTTTGTCTTTAATTTTTATTTATTTATAGTTTTTAAAAAAATACTTTAATAAGTTTAGGGGGTTAATTACATATACATTAAGCGTGGTGGAATTTGGGCTTTTGGTGTACTATACTCCACAGATAATTTTTCATCCCTACATTCCTCATCTCCCCCTGTCATTCCTTTTGCATCTCCAGTGTCCATTTTATAACTCTGTGGTGCCCTCGTGTAGCCACTTAGAAGCGAGAACATGTGGCATTTATTTTTCTGTTCTCTTAGGAGAATAGCCTCCAGTTCCATCTGAGTTGCTGCAAAAGCCATTGTTTTCTTTTCTTTTTTTAATTAATTTGTTTTTTTAATGAATGGTAACTATGTACATTCATGCACTTCTGGGGTACAGTGTGGTGTTTTCACACACAATCCAAAACACTTCCATCAAACTGGTTAACATAGCCTTCATGTCATTTTCTTAGTTACTGTGTTAAAATGTTCATATTCTACTCTTAGAAAGATTCACTTGTACCCTTGTAAGATAAACCATTTTCTTTCTTTCTTAAATGCTATGTAGTACTCCATGGTGTATATATACTATGTTTTCTTTATCTATTTATCAGCTGATGGGCACTTAGCTTGATTTCAAATCCGTGGGATTGTGAATTGTGCGGCAATCACATATGACCACAGTGTCTTTTGGGTATAATGATTACTTTTCCTCTGGGTAGATACCCAGTAGTGGGGTTGCAAGGTTGAATAGTAGATCTACTTTTACTTCCTTGAGAAATCTCCATACTGATCTCCATAGAAGTTGTATGAATTTACTCTTCCACCAACAGTGTGTTCCCTTTTCACTGCATCACTTCACCATCTATTATTTTTTATCTTTTTAATAATGGCCATTCTGATTGGAGTAAGAGAGTATCTCATTGTGGTTTTAAGTTACATTTCTTTTATAATTAGTGATGTTTGTTGGCCATTTGTTTATCTTCTCTCAAAAAATACCTGTTTTAAGTAGGTTTGTCTACTTTTAAGGGGATTGTTTTTTTCTTGCTGAATTGTTTGAGTTTGTTGTAGAGTCTGGGTATTAGTGCTTTGTCAGACACATAGTTGGCATATACTTTCTTACATAAGTTTTCTATTAACTATTTTGATTATTTTGCTGTGCAGAGGCTTTTTAGTTTAACTGAGTCCCATTTGTCTATTTTTATTTTCATTGCATTTGCTTTTGTGGTCTTTGTCATAGATTTTTTTGCCCAGGCTAATGTCCAGAAGAGTTTTCCCTAGGCTTTCTTCTAACATAATATTTCTAGTATTTTTAGAGTTTCAGATCTTACATTTAAGTCTTTATCTTGAGTTAATTTGTGTATGTGGTGGGAGATAGGGATCCATATGGCCCTCCAATTTTCCCAAACCATTGGTTGAACAGGGTGTCCCCATTATATGTTCTTGTAGACTTTGTCAGAGATCAGTTAGCTGTAAGTATGTGGCTGTATTTCAAGTTCTCTATTCTGTTCCTTTGATCTGTGTGTTTGTTTTTATACCAGTTCCATGCTGTTTTGGTTATCGTAGCCTTCTGTATTATTTGAAGTCAGGCAAAGTGGATGACTCCAGCTTTGTTCTATTTGCTTAGGGTTGCTTTGGCTATTCCGGCTCTTTTTTGGTTCTGTATGAGTTTTACAATTGTTTTTCCTAATTCTCTGAAAAATGACACTGATATTTTGCAGACATTGCATTGAATCTGTAAATTACTTTCAGCAGTGTGGTCATTTTAATGATATTGATTCTTCCAATCCATGAGCATGGGATATTTTTTCATTTGTTTTCTACGATTTCTTTAGTCAGTAGTTTGTAGTTTTGTAGAGATCTTTCACCTCCTTAGTCTTATTCTTAGGTATTTCATTTCATTATTTTATCTATTTTTTTTAATTGCTGCTCTTGTAAATGGGACCGAGTTCTTGATTTGGTTTTCAGTGTGGTTGTCATTGATATATAAAAATTATGTTGATTTTATAACTTGAGACTTTGCCAAACTCATTTATCAAATCTAGGAGTCTTGGAGAAGTCCTTAGGATTTTCTAGGTTATAAGATAGTATCACCAGCAGACAGAGAAATTTAGCTCTCTCTTTTCCCGTTTGGATATCTTTTATTTCTTTATCTTGCTTGATTATTTTGGCTAAGACTTCCAGTAGCATATTGAGTAGAAATGGTAATTTCAAATCTTGGGGAATACTTTCACCTTTTCCCCGTTCAGTATAATGTTGGTTCTGGGTTTGTCATAAATTGTCTTTTACTGTTTTGAGTAGGTTGAATTTTTTGAGGGTTTTGGTCATGAAAGGATACTGGATTTTATTGAATGCTCTTTCCATGTCTGTTGAGATGGTCATATGGTTTTGGTTTTTAATTCTGTTTGTGTGGTAAATCATTATTATTGACGTGGAACTATCCTAGTATCCCTGGAATAAAACCCACTTGGGTGTGGTGAATTATCCTTTTGTTGTGCTGTTGGGTTTGTTTTGCTAGTATTTTGTCAAGGATTTTTTGCATCTGTGTTTATCAGAGATATTGGTCTGTAATTTTCTTTGCATGTTGTGTCCTTTCCTGTCTTTGGTGTCAGGGTGACACGAGCCTCATAGAATGAGTTAGGGAGGATTCTATCCTTCTCAGTGTTACAGAGTAGTTTCAGTAAGATAGATGCCAGTTCTTCTTTGTCAGTCTGACAGAATTAAGTTGTGAATTTGTCTGGTACTGGGCTTGGTTTTTTGTTGTTGTTGTTGGGAGATTTATTAATACTATTTCAGTTTTGCTACTCATTAGCTTCTTAAGGATTTCTATTTCTTATTTAAGCTTGGGAGGTTACGTGTTTCCAAAATATTTCTTCTAGATTTTCTAGTTTGTGTGCATAGATGTTTTCATAGTACTTATGGATAATATTTTGTATTTCCAAATTTCCAAAATGATATCCAAGAAGGCAAGGCTCCTTTCAGACAAGGGCATGGGCAAGAGACCGTGGGGAATACTGTTCACTCATGTCTCAGTCTCTAGGAGCACACAGCCCAGTGTTAACCTCTTAAAGTTATACTTTGGAACTGAAACCCCAAAGGCTGGGGCTCCACCTAGGCAGGCCATGTGGGTGAGAAACTGTAAACAATTCTTTCTGCATCTCAGAGTATGTGGGAGCACCAAGGTACCTCCAATCCCTCCTCAGGCCTGCACAGTGGCTATAGGAGTGTCCATAGTTCCAACTAAGTAATATGGTTTTTATTGTTGTCAGCTTTACCCGATGAATTTATATTTGTTTTGTAAGTGAATTTCTTAATTTTATGTTTAGTTAATATGTAATTCAGAATCAAATATAACTCCTATAGCAGTATTTAGTTCTTCTTTATGCCTTTATTTCAGTCAGTGCTGCAGTGGACTTACTTTTTTTCTTCCTTATAGTAAGTAGGTAGAATTTCCTGCTACTACTGCTACTTTTCTCTTTTATAATTGACTGGGAAATAGTCTATCTTTTTCCTGTATTAGATTTATATTTTAACATGTTTTACTAGTATCCATGTTAGACTCAATGGACATTTCTGAAATCTGGAATAGAGTATACCAGTTTAATTTGAAATTGAGCAGATAGTAGCATTATATTGGTCCAAATAATCTCATTGCTCATTTAGGTAAGATATTTAGGGGGAGTATTGAAAGATTCCCTAAGTTGCAAATTTATGCCTCCCATATCTGGCTCCCAGGACAGTGCAGCAGGATGCAGCGGAACCCCACCAATATGCCGGCAAGCCCAGACCAAACTAGAAGTGGCCCTGTACATGTTTCTGTGGAGCCCTGACACCGAAGCTGTTCTGGTTGCTATGTCCTGTTTCCGCCATCTCTGTGAGGAAGCCGATATCCGGTGTGGTGTGGATGAAGTGTCAGTGCATAACTTCTTGCCCAACTATAACACATTCATGGAGTTTGCCTCCGTTAGCAATATGATGTCAACAGGTAAATGTGGATAATGGTATTTTTTACTCAGGATGCCTTAAATTATATGACATGTGATTGGGTTAGAAATGTATTTAAGGTTAGTGCTTTGTTACTTTATGAGACTAATTCAAATAGCTTACTTGAAATCCTTTTCTGAAGAGGAAGGGTGAAAATAAATAGCATTTTAAAAAGTTGTAAAATTATCTCTTGCTGACTTTTTAATATGCTATATGTTAATCTATACTGTTACGGCAGTATAGATTACTTTCAGTTATAGATTATATAATGTACTCTGCCTGAATTGTAGGTAGTAAAATGTTAGCATATTGGCATGTGTTTTAAGTAAATCATAGGTGAGGATAACTGTTTTATGCTGCAGACTTGGTGTAGTCCAAGCTAAATACCTTTCCTATGAGGCTGCTGAAAGGAAGTTTCTGGCTTTAACATTTGATCCATTTCTTTTACTCTTCCTACTCTGCCTTTTGGGCGGGGCTTGTAACATTCTTCCTTGGCAAGCAGGGCTTTAAGTGTACTTACCTTTGCGTTGTCTTTGCTTAGGAAGAGCAGCACTTCAGAAAAGAGTGATGGCACTGCTAAGGCGCATCGAGCATCCCACTGCAGGAAACACTGAGGTATGTCTGCCCTTAGCAACAAAACGCCCCCACCAATCTCCAGTCCTTCAGTTTCAGAAACCTCACATTACATTCATGTGATCTGGAATAGCTTTTGAAGCATCTAAGATATGCGCATATTACATGTAGCATATTGTGATATATACCAAGTTTCAAACTTGGCTGTAACAATTGATTTTTAGTTTTAGACTTAAAATTGTTTTCAAGCAATAATTATCTTCATTTTAGGCTTGGGAAGATACACATGCAAAATGGGAACAAGCCACAAAACTAATCCTTAACTATCCCAAAGTCAAAATGGAAGATGGCCAGGTAAGTTCATGTAGTTGATTTTTGTCTACTAATTTATCTGCTACAGTAATCTTTTGTGAATCACTCTTCATGTATCTGTCTTAAGATGGATATTTATGTAGTTATGGTTTTCCTATACCTGAACTGTTTAATATGGTAGCCACTATCTTCATGTGACTATTTAAACTAAATTTTAACGGCCGGGCATGGTGGCTCACGCCTGTAATCCTAACACTCTGGGAGGCCGAGGCAGGTGGATTGCCTGAGCTCACGGATTTGAGATCAGCCTGAATAAGAGTGAGACCTCTTGTTATGGCAGGCGCCTGTAGTCCTAGCTACTTGGGAGGCTGGGGCAAGAGAATCACTTGAGCCCAGGAGTTTGAGGCTGCTGTTAGCTATGACTCCATGACCCTCTACTGAGAGCAACAAAGTGAGACTCTGTCTCAAATAAATAAATAAAATAAATTAAGTTTTAACTTAAAGTGAAATGTAATTAAAATTTAGTTTCTCAATGAAACAGTAGCCACATTTTGAGTATCTAATAGCCACATGTGGTAATTTGTTACTGTATTATGCAGCAGAGATACAAAATGTTTCCATCATTGTATAAATATTTGACAGTACTCCTACAGACCACTTACCCTCTTTTTTGCTATTTCTGCATTCATCAAGTTATTTTATAGACCTTTTAAAAAGGGGCAATGGAAGTGGAGAAAAATAAATGAAAATTGAAATAAACATTTTGCTATTTTGTTAGATATTCTAATTAAAGGATCTGATGGTTAGAAGATTGAACTCACAGCTTAAATGAAATTTTAAAAGTTGGACATTTTGTCCATCAACTGTTACTACCAACTGTATTATCACATAGTGCTGAGGAAATTAACTTTGAATTAGTATTTGTGTGTATATGATTCGTAATGCTCATGTTACTCTCATTGGGTGTTTTACAAAAACTAATTATTCTCCCATTGCTTTTTCCCCCATACTTAGAACAAGAAAAAAAATTAATATTTTTGTGAAGCAAAATTGTATACCTAATACTATTATTTGGAGAGGTAGCTTTAGAATGAAAGTTTTTAACTTTTTAATTGACAAATAATACCATACAGTTCACCTATTTAAAATAGTTCAGAGACTATAGCATATTCATAGTTTTACAACATCACAAAAATCAATTATAGAACATTTTCATCACCTCAAAAAAAACCCCGACATACATTTTAGCAATCTCTGCCTCTAACAACTTTTGCTTTCCTGCCTCTCTGCCTCCCTGCCTCCCTCTCCTGCAGCCTGGGCAACCATTAATCTGTTTTCTGTGTGTAGATTTGCCTAGTTTGGACATTTTCTATAAATGGAATTAAGATTCTGGGGCTTTTGTAATTATTTCCTTTCACTTAATATGTTTTCATTGTTCATCCATGTGAACCAAAGCTTTTTAAAAGAAACTCGTTTCTCTAGTTTGTTAGTCTAGCTATAACAAAAATAATTGGTGTCTCTTTAAAAATATAGAGTAACTTGAGATTTTGATATTTAAATGTAAAAATATACTTTTGTTGCGGAAGAAATGTTTGATTTCTTCAAAAAATTACTCAAAAGAGTAATTTGTCAAGTCAGTTTGTCAAGGTTATGACATGCTTTCCACAAAAATTTTGTATTTAGGCTGCTGAAAGCCTTCACAAGACCATTGTTAAGAGGCGAATGTCCCATGTGAGTGGAGGAGGATCCATAGATTTGTCTGACACAGATTCCCTACAGGAATGGATCAACATGACTGGCTTCCTTTGTGCCCTTGGGGGAGTGTGCTTGCAGCAGAGAAGCAATTCTGGCCTGGCAACCTATAGCCCACCCATGGGCCCAGTTAGTGAACGTAAGGGTTCCATGATTTCAGTGATGTCCTCAGAGGGAAATGCAGATACACCTGTCAGCAAATTTATGGATCGGCTGTTGTCCTTAATGGTGTGTAACCATGAGAAAGTGGGACTTCAAATACGGACAAATGTTAAGGATCTGGTGGGTCTAGAATTAAGTCCTGCTCTTTATCCAATGCTATTTAACAAACTGAAGAATACCATCAGCAAGTTTTTTGACTCCCAAGGACAGGTAAAGTGTTCTCTTTTCTTTTTCATCCTTCCCTGTGAATTGAGTGACTTGTTTGGAATAATGTGAAGCCTTTTTCTTTCTGATCATTTAAATTAGGTGCTGTCATGAATATTCACTCACAATTTTAAAAAATAGTCAAAAATTACAGAGAGAGGAGTCATCTAATACAAGAATCAGTTGGTTTGCTTCTTAGGAATTCTGCTCTCATGAGTGTGCCTGGGGTTGTGAACGTCTTGGGTATGGTTATGAGTGTCCGTGTATGTCTGTGTGCTTATATGGATTTATGCCTATGGGTGAATTTTTCTGTGTATATATTTAGGTCAGTCAGTTTCATCTCTCTGTGGTGTCTATGGTATGTCTCCTGTGCACTGATGGCAAATTACTTATGTGTTTTGTTCTTTGTGTAGGTTTTATTGACTGATACCAATACTCAGTTTGTTGAACAAACCATAGCTATAATGAAGAACTTACTAGATAATCATACTGAAGGCAGCTCTGAACATCTGGGCCAAGCTAGCATTGAAACAATGATGTTAAATCTGGTCAGGTAAGCATTCTGCTGAAATGCAGCTGAAGCATTTTAAGGGATAGGAAAAACCTGTTACACACTGATGCTGGTAGTAATTGATGAAATATTATCCTTCTCTTGCTGTTCTTTTCTTTAATGTACTCTAATAGAGTATGACCATAAGGTAACCAGAAGTTGTATATTTTTTAATACAAAAAATTAAAAACATTATTGTTTTTAAAGTTATTTTTAGTCATTTAGTGATTAATGCGTTTAGAATACCTTACTTTTTTTATCTATACCTGATAATTTCTTTAATATTTCTATGTCTAAATAGATATGTTCGTGTACTTGGGAATATGGTCCATGCAATTCAAATAAAAACCAAATTATGTCAGTTGGTTGAAGTAATGATGGCAAGGAGAGATGACCTTTCATTTTGTCAAGAGATGAAATTTAGGTGAGTTCTCAAAAGAGCAAAATAGGGTCTTGTAAATCTTAGTGTGTTAAATGAAACACAGAAAAATAGTAGGACCTGATTATCAGAGGCAAAGAGAGAGTGGAAGAGGGACATTTTATATGTTTGTTTTTCTCTGCATGTCTTTTCAAATTTATAAAAGCTTCATCCGTTGCAACGCTCCTTTTTCTAAAATTGTGCTATACTTGAGCTGAGAAATTGATTTTGTTTCCAAATTTACCATAGCTAAGGGCCAATTTAGAGGATTAGGATCCAAGTTGCTTATGTCTTTTGCTCATCTGACTTTTACATCTCTTTTGGAATGTCTCTTTTGTAAAGTTGTCATGTCATGTATTTGTCAAGTTATTTGCACTGTTCAAAAATCTTACATGAGGCTCAGCGCCTATAGCTCAGCGGTTAGGGCGCTGGCCATGTACACCGGGGCTGATGGGTTTGAATCTGGTCCAGGCCTACTAAACAACAATGACAACTACAACAGCAACAACAAATTAACTGGGTGTTGTGGCAGGCACATGTAGTCCCAGCTACTTGGGAGGCTGAGGCAAGAGAATCACTTGAGCCCAAGAGTTGAGGTTGCTGTGAGCTATGGCACCATGGCACTCTACCGAGGGCGACATAATAAGACTCTGTCTCAAAAAAAAAAAAAAGAATCTTACATGACTAAAAGTGTATGTGTGTGATGTATGCATGGCCATAAAAGATTGTTTGCTATTTCTCTTTTCTCCACCATTCTATAGAAATAAGATGGTAGAATACCTGACAGACTGGGTTATGGGGACATCAAACCAAGCAGCAGATGACGATGTGAAATGTCTTACAAGGTAAAAAAAGAATGACCTTTAAGTACTAGCAGGTTTTACTGTATGGTGTATTTGAATTTTTGTAGATGTCAAGGTTTTGTGTGTGAAAGAAATATATTAATCTTTATTACTACTTTTTTTTAACTGATAGACTTTTATAAAAACAAATGGGAGTGTTATGTTTGGTGTGTTAGTGTTGTCAATTTAGAAAGAATAGTTGACAGTTACTGGGAAATAAGGTATATAAAGCCTCAGAATGTGTGTATTTTGTGATTTGATAAAGGCATTATTTGAGAAACTTAATTCTGTTGAGTCTAAGAAATATTGCTTAAGTTGGCTTTAATGATAAATACTTAGAAAACTTATGAGAAAGTGATTAAACACTATGAACCATATAATAATTCACATGTTTCTTTGGCTAGGTCTGGTTTTATAGTACAGTAATCCCTCTGTGTCTGTGAGGGATTGATTCCAGGGTTTCCAATGCCCTGCTCCCATAGACACCAAAATCCATAGCTTATCTAAAGTTGTATAATAATTGCATATAACCTATGTGTACTCTCTCGTTTACTTTAAATTATCTTTAGGTTACTCACAATACCTAATATATAAATGCTGTATAAATGGCTGATATACTATATTGTTTAGGGAATCATGGTAAGGAAATAAAGTCTATACATTTTCAGTTCAGACAGAACCATTCTTTCCCCCCCCCCCAAATATTTTTGATCTATGGTTGGTTGGATCCATAGATACAGAACTCATGAATATGGAGGGCTGACTAAACATACTTTTGATTTAAGGTTGTCATTTTGCCAAGATGACTTTGTTGAAGGTTGTTATTGCCTTCTCCCCAATTTGAAATGTTTTATGTTCTGGGGTCTATATGTTAAGTCAAATTATTTGGGTTGTGGTAATAAGTTGTTTAATGAAATAGGTAGTTCTTAAAAGTTTATGTCTGTTAGTAAGAGTTTTATTTGGGAGGGAAGTGAAATAGAAGAACCTGTAAGACTTATGGTCTCTAAAATTTTTTTCTTCAGAGATTTGGACCAGGCAAGCATGGAAGCAGTAGTTTCACTCCTAGCTGGTCTCCCCCTGCAGCCTGAGGAAGGAGATGGTGTGGAATTGATGGAAGCCAAGTCACAGTTATTTCTTAAGTAAATTTCAGCCTCCTAAAACACAAACCAAAAAGCAAATAAAGGCCCCCACACAAAACAAATAAAGTGTAAACAAAGTGGCACATGATTATAGTGGATCTCATCACTTTGGTATTATGGCCATTGACTGCTGTCTCATAAAATGTACCACACTTGTGAAGCAATATTCCCCATGACAGGGCAGAGCTAGGAAAACAATGTTTCATGGTATTTAAAGAAATGGTGTGATTCTCTTAAAGAAAAGAACTTTTACTTGTAATACAATCCAGATAGCTTCATTGTCATTTAAAATGACATTGTCTAAACTGTTAGAGGACTACTAATTTTATATGCCAAACATTAAAAGTGACAAGTTTAGCAAGCAACATTGCATCTATTTAATGATTAGGTTATGAAATGGGTTCTGGGCTTTGTTAAGATGAAATCCTGTCCAACATAGTACACTTCATAACGAGTCACCCTGGCTGAGAATTGCGAGAGAGGAGAGAAGCAGTTACTCAGGGCCACTCATAGGGTGCACATACGATGACTTCAGATGTCTGCGTGGCTTTCTAGTTGATGTGGACTTCACTGTGTAAGGGTTAGTCTTTTTATTTCTCAGATACTTCACATTGTTTATGAACCTTTTGAACGACTGTAGTGAAGTTGAAGATGAAAATGCACAAACAGGTGGCAGGAAGCGTGGCATGTCTCGGAGGCTGGCATCACTGAGGCACTGTACAGTACTTGCAATGTCAAACTTACTCAATGCTAACGTGGACAGTGGCCTCATGCACTCCATAGGTGAGATCAAGTGAAAGCTTTGTATAGAAATATAAAACTTAGAGAATTGGCAAGACAAGTAAAAATTGATTCAGCAAGGCCCTGTTAGTAAATTTGCATCTGTTTGTCCAGGTTTAGGTTATCACAAGGATCTTCAGACAAGAGCTACATTTATGGAAGTTCTGACAAAAATCCTTCAGCAAGGCACAGAATTTGACACACTTGCAGAAACAGTATTGGCAGATCGATTTGAGAGACTGGTGGAATTGGTCACAATGATGGGTGATCAGGGAGAGCTTCCTATAGCTATGGCTTTGGCTAACGTGGTTCCTTGTTCTCAGTGGGTAAGTGCTTTGAGTTAGTGGGGAAGAAGAGTGCCTGGCTCATAGCAAATGCTTCAAAATATATTTATTCAAGAAATGACTATTGAATGAATTGGCATAGTTTTAGAGCTAGAAGAAACTTTAGATATTTAGTTAAGTGGTTTTCAGCTATAGGGAGTGGTTAGCAAATCTAGCATTGCTAGTGTTCTGTCTCATTCCATCCACTGAAAAATTCCATTTAAACACCAATTTACAGAAATTTAAAAACCGTTGAGCTGTCTGCTGTCTTCATGTATTAGCTTAGGTAATTAGTTTAAACCTGATTTTAGTTAGTTGTTAAGTAGAGCTAGATCTGGAATACACAATTTGTGTCTATTTCCTATTCCAGTTTGCTACTCTTTTTCCTGTAATGTCTTGTACAACTTTTTTTTTAAAATACAAGTACTGTATCTGCATTTGATATTATGGTATTTGCTTGCTTTAAACACTGAAGACATAATATATGACTATTTGGCTTCTCCCTTAATTTAATCAAAAATTTCCCCCAAATCACATGATTCTTAATAATATATGCTGAAATTTTGAGAAGGGTTATTGTTCCTTTCCATGTTAAAAAGCCATTTGATTTATGGTATACTGAAAACGGTTTCAGTTATAATGAATTATAACTAAGGTAATTTGTCATTGTTTCTCCTGCCTCAGCCTTCTGAGTAGCTTGGGACTACAGGCACTCACCACACTGCCCACCTAATTTTTGTTGTTGCAGTTGTCATTGCTGCTCTAGCTGGCCCAGCCGGGTTTGAGCCTTGGTGAATGTGGCTGGTGCCCTACTCACTGAGCTACGGGTGCTGCCCAATTTGTCATTGTTTGTAGATTTGTTTTTACTTAAAAGCTATGGAATTATATTTCTTCTACCCGCACTTAAAGTAAAATTCATACTCCTTGTCTTGGCCTACAAGGCTCTGTCCAATCTGGGCCCTGTCTCATCTCTGACATTTGCCTTCTTATTCACTAAACTTAGACCACATTGGGTACCTTTCTTTCTCACATACTTGTTAGACTTGTTTCTGTTTTAGAGCACTCTTGCTGCTGCTGTCATCTGAAATGCTTGTCCTCTGATTATTTCATTTTGATAAGAACACTTAGCATGACATCTACCCTCTTAACAGATCTCCTCTCTCTCTCTCTCTCTCTCTCTCTCTTTTTTGAGACTGGGTCTTGCTCTGTTGCCCAGGCTAGGGTACAGTGGCATCATCATAGCCCACAGCAACCTCAAACTTCTGGGCTCAAGTGATCCTCCTGCCTCAGCCTCCCGAGTAGCTGAGACTACAGGCTATAGGCATACTCCACCATGCCTGGCTGATAAATATACACACATATATATGTGTGTGTTTGTGTGTGTGTGTGTGTGTGTATATATTTAATTATACATGTACACACATACATACACGTGTGTATATATGTAGCCAGACCTTGCCTCTACAAAAAAAATTTGTTTATTAATTATTATTATTATTTGTAGAGGCAAGGTCTGGCTATGTTGCTTAGGCTGGTCTCATATTCCTGGTATCTAGAGATCCTCCTGCCTCAGCTTTCCAAAGTGCTAGGATTACAGGCATTAGCTATCACACCTGGCCCTCTTAGATTTTTAAGTGTATAGTACAGTATTACTATCTATGGAAACAGTGTTACATAGGAGATCTCTAAAACTTACCTGTGTAACTAAAATTTTACTCACATTAGCAACATTCTGAAATTATTGAAACCTTCTTGAAGCCTAAAATTAATTCACAGATCTTCAAATGTTTTGAAAACAGATATTCTGAATTATCTTGTTAGCACCTTTCTATAATTTAGCACTAAAAATACTGAGTAATCTTAATAAAAAGAGAATCAGTTAAGTTCAAGAAGATTTAATGCATTGAGCTTCATATTAAATGACTTTATATTAAGAAAGAATTTTGTATTAGGCCAGATCTGTTAGTTAAAACTGTTATCTAAAGGAAAACAAAATAAAAAGTAATATTTAAAATGATTTAATTCTATTTTGTAAATTTTTTAAAATTTTTTTATTGAATCATAGCTATTTTGTAAATGTTTTTAAATTATGTTGCTTAAAGTTTTTTAGAATTTTGGAGGGGGGAATTGGAGTGGGAAAAAAAGGCACAGTACTTTATAGTTTCCATTTTATAACTGAATTCTCATAATTTTACTTTATAATGGAGGATAGAGTCTTTATAACTAGTTGAATATGTATTATGTATTAGGGAGCAGGGCAAAATGTTGGGTCTTTGTAATGCTTTGGCTGCTAGATTATTTGTGATTGGGATTATTAAACTTTTTATATCAGATTATTGTAATTCTGGGACCCAGCAAGAATTAAAGAGTTTTGGTTGTGATCCTGGCCCTGTTGTTACTGTTTGAAGATTGAGGTATCTTTTTATGGTTATCCCTCTTCTCTTTAGATCTCTTTCAGCATATGGTTAAACAGTGATTTACTATCAGATCATTTTTCTTAAGTGTACCCAAACTACTTTATTATAGGGAATTAAAAGGGTTGTTGTTTTGGTAATAAATGGGAATTTCATTCCCCCCAGCTTTGTGTAGATCTCTGGGTTCTGAATGCCCAGTTCCTTTTATTCCCAATTTCTTAAAAATCCTGTAGTCTTTTCATTTTTGTTGTCTCTACCTAGCTAGTCTCTGTTGAGCATTCACTGAGTTCCCTGACCATATGAGAAGAGTGTAGAGCTGTTCTGGTACTGGTCTTATTTGTCCTCAGTGATTTTCTTTTTGAGACAGAGCCTCAAGCTGTCCCCCTGGGTAGAGTGCTGTGGTATCACAGCTCACAGCAACCTCCAACTCCTGGGCTCAAGCGAGTCTCCTGCCTCTGCCTCCCAAGTAGCTGGGACCACAGGCGCCCACCACAACGCCAGGCTATTTTTTGGTTGCAGCCGTCATTGTCGTTTGGCGGGTTTGGGCTGGATTTGAACCCGCCACCTTAGGTGTATGTGGCTGGCGCCTTAGCCACTTGAGCCACAGGCGCTGAACCCTCAGTGATTTTCTAAGAAAATGATATGCACAAATTAAACTCTTTGATGGCATCTTCTATTTCTACTCTTTAATTTTGTGCTATAAGTTGAGCTGAATCTTGGAGTTTTTGTCTCCTGATTAAGCCTACATCTCTTACTAATTTTCACCAGTGAATTGCTATTGTAAACATTATATGTAGGCATCCACTATAGACAGATGTACACAGATAAATATCAGGAGAAATATTAACCATTCACCATTTACCTTAACCTGGCAGGTGGTTTTCAACTTTGGATTTGTGTTTTTCACTTATCTTCAGCTTTTTGCTTAAGAAAAAATGGGATTGTTTGCTCTAGCTTGATTTTATTTTGTTTTCAGGATGAACTAGCTCGAGTTCTGGTTACTCTATTTGATTCTCGACATTTACTGTACCAACTGCTCTGGAACATGTTTTCTAAGGAGGTAGAATTGGCAGACTCCATGCAGACTCTTTTCCGAGGCAACAGTTTGGCCAGTAAAATAATGACATTCTGTTTTAAGGTTTGTATTGTTCATTTTATGTGTATGTGCTGAGGTATGTTTGGTAGTAATTACATGAGATCTATCCAGAAAGTATCTAGCCACATAATATGAAAAGTAGAGACATTTATTGAAGAAGATATGAGACATAAGAAACATTGAACACAGGACAGTGACACCCCAGTCCCCTTCAAAGTAGGCATGTTAGGACTTCACACGTTTCTCAGTGTCTCTCCCACTGTTCAAAACACTCTACAAAATCCTTTATTGAATTCTCCATCAGCTGCATTATTGTATATTCTGAAATCTCTTCTTTCACAGGTGATTTTAGTTTTGAGAAAAGCCACAAGTCACAAGGCACTAAATCTGGGCTGTAGGGAAGCTGAGCCACTTGAGTGATTTGATGTTTCACCAAAAACCTCTGTGCAGGGCAGGATGCATGGGTGGGCATGCTGTGATAATGCTGCCCATCACAAGTTAGTTGTAGCTGTAGCTGCTCTTGTCGCATGAATCTCTTCACCCACAAAGAACATTGAAATGTAGTACTTCTTATTAATTGTTTGGCCTGGTTGAGCATCCTAGTGATGGACAACAGCTTCCCAATCAGAAAATAGTCATCACCTTCCCAATCACAAATATCTTGCTGCTCCTTCTTCAGGCGTGAAGAACCAGGTGACTTCCATTGGGATGACTGGGCCTTCATTTCTGGATATAGCCATAGACCCATGATTCATCTCTGGTTATGACCTTAAGGACATCTGATTCACTGGTAGTGGTTTGAAGCAAGTCATTAGCAAATGCAGCACAATGTTCCTTCTGCTCTGGTAGCAGAAGCCACAGAATGTGTTTTGCCACAACGCATTTCATGAAAAGACCCTCCTGCAAAATTTCAGACATGGTTGTTTTCTCAATTTCCAGATCAGCTTCTAGTACTCCCAGTCACTGAGCTTTATTGATTATAGCCCACAGATAGTCAACATTCATAGGTGTTATGCTTTTCATAGGCCTTCCAGAGCGTAGATCACTTTCAACAGGTTCTTGACCATCTTTGAAGTCTTTGTGCCACATATTTATTGGTGCTGAGCTCATTGCCTCATCCCTGAAAGCCTTCTGAATCATCCAAATAGTTTCTGTGGAGGAATGTTCAAGCTTGATGTTAAATCTGATGCAGATTTGTTGCTTTACTTGTTCAGTTGTTTTGAGTCCTGTGGCCACACAGTGCACATACTCACTCAACGGTATCTGGCACCCCACTGACGAGTACAGCAAAGTTGTCATTGTTCTTGGGTGTGCATTCCAGTTCACATTCCTTGGCTACCAGATTACGTTGGTGTTGCACAAACCATTCTTACTATATTAACATTGGCTGGATATTTTCTGGGCAGACCTCATAAAATGTGCAGAACTGATTGTCCTCTTTTAATGCCAGATATATTGGGCAGGTATAATAAATTCCTCCTTGTGCATTTCTTTAGGTATATGGTGCTACCTACCTACAAAAACTCCTGGATCCTTTATTACGAATTGTTATCACATCCTCTGATTGGCAACATGTTAGCTTTGAAGTGGATCCTACAAGGTTTGTCATCTTTTTCTGTACAACTTCTGTTTTATCATGAACCAAACCACATGAAATAAGGCTCTTGTAATTTTTCCCTTGGATTCTTAACATTAGTTTTTAATGACAAATGTTACACACACATGTATTTCTCTTAAAAAAAAAAAAGTTACTAGATTAGTCCAGGCACGGTGGCTCACACCTATAATCCTAGCGTTCTGGGAGGCTGAGGTGGGTGGATTGCCTGAGCTCACAGGTTCAAGATAGCTAGAGCAAGAGCAAGACCCCGTCTCTAAAATATAGCCAGGTGTTGTGGCGGGTGCCTGTAGCCCCAGCTACATGGGAGGCTGAGGCAGGTAAATTGCATAAGTCCAAGGGTTTGAGGTTGCTGTGAACTGTGTCACCACGACACTCTACTGAGGGCAACTAAATAGACTTTGTCTCAAAATAATAAAAAAGTGATAATAGATTATTGTTAAAGCTGTCTTTGACTCCAGAGACTGCGTATGCAGTCATACACTAAGGTGACTAGAAGTCCTGCTTTTGGTGGGACAGTCCCTATTTTTAACAACTTGTCCTGCATCCCGCAGCATTTTTAAAAAGTCTCGATTTTTGGAAAGAATGCATGACAAGCTAGGGAACAGTAGGAGAATGGGAAGGGAATATACGGTTTTCCGCTGCTAAAGAGGTTAATGTAACTCCATTTGGGAATGAAAAGGCTAATGTAAACTCCCTACTCTCCTCCTGGGCAAGGTCGCCCAGGAATTGGTATCAGAAGGAGACTGGCTCCCTCCCTTGCTTCTAGGCAAGAACAATTAGCTCAGAAGGAGCCCAACTGTCTGGAACAAACAAGTAGCCCCCACCCTCACCCCCTAGCACTCTAGAGTAAGGTAACCAGATGTCCCGCTTTTGGCGAGACAGTCCCAATTTTGAACAATTTGTACCACATCCCGTGGAGTTTTAAAAAAGTCCAGTTTTTGGAAAGAATGCATGACAAGCTAGGGAACTCGGGAGAACAGGAAGGGAATATACAGTTTTCGGCTGCCATGTGGCTATTTCACCAGAATATGAGTTTTATATTATTTTTGTTAACTGAAATAACTTAGGAGACCTGGAAAAATAGAGTCGGACCCCCACTTAGGTTAATTAATTGGTAATTTATTTTACCTGCTGCAGGGGTTGCTGCTCCGAGAGACAGTCAGCAGCCCAAGTAGGAGGGTAATTTGCCTTTTATAGGCTTTGCGCGAGTATATTACAGAAGCGAAGCATGGCTGGTTGGGGGCGGGGGTTACAGCTTAGGTAGTCATGGATATAACAATGGAACAATAATTGATACAGTTTGGGTTGACATTGGATACATCTCATATCACAGTGGTTATGGTTATACAACAGTAATTAATCAAGTTCAGTGAGTTTTCCACTATTGTTCGTCTACTGAGAACTTAGGGGTTTTGTGAAACTTGGGACTTTTCTTCCTTGTACCTGAAGCTTGTTCTTGGCAACCCTAGGGGGAAGGAGGGGGCCTGGGAATGAGGCTGGGAAGCACTGTTCTCAGTCACCATGGGGAGAGGAGGGACTTGCCTTCTTCTGGGGGGGAGAAGGGAGGAGGAGGAGGGAAATGGGCAAAGGGCAGGGGAGAGGGGAGGAACAGGTGAGGGCTGGGGAACAGGAGTGGGCAAGGGAAAGAGGGCTGGGTTACAACAAATTTTATAATGTTAAACTTTAATAATAACAAATAATTGTTGAGAACTGATTATCGAGAACTGCTTATCAAAGTTTGCATTGTTGTCAGGCCC